AACGGCGTCACCGGGAGGGAATTCCCTGGGGAATTTAAGGAAATTCTTCGCCTTTCCTGGCGCTTGGTGAGCAGTGCGGGGTGCGTTGGTGCCATGTGCTGGGGGACCCGGCGCTGCTCAGGGCCGACTGAAGAGATCGGGGGATTTTTGTTATTTCAAGTAAGCTTTAGGGTTTTATCTTTTTTCCAACAGTCGTCTTCACACGCACCAGCTGGCAGACGACCCTTGAAGAGGCTAAAATGTGAAGAACAGAGTGTAGGAAAATCAGATCTAGAAGGACTTGGATGTGGAAGCGAAAACCTTGCTGTGTTGGGGGAAACATCTAAGACACCTGAGGGAGATGGGCGTTCAGAAGATCCAGGAGACTTTTTCCAACAGAAAAAAGGTGAAAGCATTTCAGAGACTAATGAAGACAAAGAGGAGAAGGAACACAGTGTTTCCCTCAAGCCACACGCAGTGAAATCAAGCAGTGCTCCATCAAAAATGGACAGTGATGAAAATCTGCACAATCGTGTCTGCAGTGAAGAGGAGAGCAGCTGTGAGAGTGCGCTTTCAGATGGGTCTGGCTCGGAGGATGGGGATCTCCCGAAGAAGCCGACACAACCAGACAATGGCGCTTTCTTGGATGAAGACAGCAACCAGCCGATGCCAGTGAACAGGTTCTTTGGAGACGTCGAGTTTATACAGGTAAGATGATGACAGTCTGTTCACACTTTTACAGACCGCTCCGTTCCGCTTTAGTCTCGCATCTTCAAACAAAATCAGGCCAGCCTCAAAATCGTAGGCAACTTGACCAGTATTGATAGACACCTGGAGTCACATCCCTGTCCTCTAGATAGAATTATTTGTCTGAGAGATTAAATTAATTGCTGAGGCAAGTCAATTTCAGATGTGAAATCTTTCTTGTTTAAATTTCATTATTCCAATTCCGTAAGATAGATATTTTTGCTCATAAAGACACGGTGTTATTCTGTCAAAATAGTTTTTTACTGGTCATTCATTCTTAATCATGGTTATTGTAATTCTTTGGAATGGAAGCTGGTTTCTGGCCACCTCTGCGTTTGGATCAAGGAGCAGAGCTTCGAATTTGAATCTCCGGTCTGCCTTTAACGTTGTATAACTTTGGGCAAGCGATGCCGCTGCCTTTTGGGCGTTTCATGACAATTAGTATTTAGCAGGAGCCATGGCTGGTATTTAGTGGGAATGGTGAGGATTTGTTCCTGCTTCTCTGAATCCTTCTCAAGCCTGCAGAAGGAATATCACCCCTTGCTTGGACCATGAGCCGCAAGGTGCCCTCAAAGCTCCTCTGCTTCAGTGACAGGTTTATGCCACCACTTCCAAGTGAAGAGGTGTGTGTTGGTGCCTCGTGTCAGATGTGGAAGTACGTGAACTGTTGCAGAGGTAGGAGGTCTGCCATGTGCCGTAACAGACTTTCCTTACCGATTTTATCTGTTTCTTACAGGATCTCCCAGCAGTCGCGCTCCCAAGCACAACGATGAGCAGGCGAGAGTTCAGAAAGCTGCATTTCATTGCAAAGGAAGATGAGGAGGAGGAGGAAGAGGATGTCGTCTAACAACAAACTGTAAACAAATCAAACCTTTTTTCTCTTTCTTTGCAACCATGTGATGATGGTTGGCTGTGTCGCTAACATAAGGCGTCTGCGTTTGCCATTTCTCAGGGAGAGGAGAACTGGTAGAGTTTGTCTGGAATTGGCAGATACGGGATTCTCCCACAGTTATCTGGGGCAAAGATTGACTGAATTTTCAGTGATTTGAAAATAAATTGTAATTTATCATTTTACCACTAATATTTAGGAAAAGAACAGGGAAAATAGAAGGTGAACGTTTGGTCCCGCTCCTTTTTCAGAACAGCCAAGCAAACCATGTTGGAACACCGTTGTGGCCTCATTAGCAACACAGCCAGTTGACTGCCCAGTACAAAGATGGACACCGGCCCCTGTTGTGTAAGCTGTGTTCCATTGTTTGCCTCTAAACCCGAAGGAATAAAACCTCTAAAAGGCAGTTCTGCTGGCAAAACTGGACGCATGGACGTCCATGTGAGTTCAGTGGTGTTCATCTCTGGAAGTTAAGTACGTTTTTATCGCATGTCAGTTCTCTGAACCACCACCACCACGTGAAGCTGGTTGGACTGGATCAATAGATGAACAAGTATTGATTAATGATCAATAAGGATATGAGTCGGTCCACCAGACTTGTTATTTTGGCCTGTGTTTTTAGAAAACAATGAGCAACCTCAGATGATTTCAGGAACTGTTAACTCACCCGATGTTTATGATAATACTTCTTTGAAAGTGTGATTATGCAATAAGCTTCCAGATCTTTATTGTTATAAATAGTTTCTTCTACATTTCTAAAAATATAGAGACAATGTTATCAGCAGATGGTTTAAATAAATATTAATTCCTACAGCTATAGCCTGTTAAACATTCAAAAGTTGTAAGCCAAACAAATTGTGTATGCATGACATGTTAATTTATTCACACTTCCACTCCAGCTGATGCATTGTTTCTGTCAAGGATATTTCTTGGCTCCTTTTCACTCCAATTCTGTAACACAGAAAATCTGATTTTTTAATAGCATATTCAACGTTTTCAGCACAACTCCATCTTCAAGTAGCTCTCCCAGCTTTCCTTAAATGCTGTATTTGCTACTGTCTCTTTCTAGCAAATATGTCTTCACACATACACAGACACACTCATTTTAGTTTCAGCACCGTGTAAAATGGTGATTTTCAGTTAGTAGGAAGCGTGCCGTACGGATTACATTGTGCTCGTCATCAGAATCTTAGCTGTGATGCCTTCCCCAGTGGTAAAACAGTGTGGTGTGTGTTTCCACCTTAGTTACCAATGATGGGTATTCAGCAGGGCAATCTGGAGGGATCAATTCAATGCACTGATATCAGAAATCCTGTATTTAAAATGCACCTACTTCCTTTCCATATGGAAATGTTTGGGAGTGGGACCAAGTTTGTTGTTTCAAGTAAATCTCTACTCTCTGTAGCAAAGCTCCTGCATTCCCAAAACCTACTAAGTTATGGCTCACTCAGCAATGCTGTCTTAACACAGTTCAGTGTGGATTTGCCCAGGTAAGAACGAGGACCAACAGTGTGGGTGAAAACAGAGCTCTTCCCTAGAGATGAGTGATGTTATTTACCAAGCATTAAGTAGCTGGCACTCCATTCCCAAACATTTCCCTGTGCTCACTCTTTCTAGTCTGTATTGGCCATACTGTGTTACACCTGAGTAACCACTCGTGCACCTCTGCCTCCACATACACACACAAAGAGAGCAGTAATTTTTTTATTTTAAAAAAGTTCACATTATGTACACTGACAGTCCCTAAAAGCTCAGTTGCTATCAGCTGATACTTTAAAAAAAAAAAAAAATCAAGTAAAAATTGATCAGTTTGTATTTTGTTCCCTGAGGTAGGAAGTGTTTTACAAAAGCATTATTCTCTAAAGCAGCAGGTAAACTTGATTATTATACAGTAACGTTGCTTGTATTGCTTCCAGCAAACTCAAGCTAAAGAAAGGAGAGGGAAATCGATGGGAAAGCTGACAAAGAACAAAGGTGGGAGAAGCAGGGATGCGCCATGGCCTTGCTCTCCCATCTCGGGGATGCATGTCTAAAGCAGCAGCAAACGGGGTGGCTGCAGATGAGCGCAGGTATTTTGGCAGAGACGAGCCAGCAGCTCTGGCACCGAATCACCCTTTGGCACGCCTGAAATACAGTGTTGTCTGCCTGGAAAAGGCACAGAGCAAAGGAATTGTCCTGAAGTATTCTTTGGCCTAACGTTCAGAGAAATATGGGTCTACAAATCCACTCAGATGATGAAGTTTTTTAGAAACATTTTGTCTGTTTCATTTCTGAGTACTGTAAGTTTTTGGGCCTGTGCTTGTCATGGCAAGAAGGAAATCATAAGGCACAATCCATGTCAGCCTCTGGCCGTGGTTCCATACTCCGAGGCACAGCTGCATTTTATCCCATTTAAGACAGTATGATCTAAGGAAAGCTGGTAGTAAGCGAGGAGGCGGGGGAGTGGAATTAGGCACGACATGAATGTACGCTTTGTGAGACTGCACTTGAATTACTTAGCAAGTCTCTTTTGCTAGGGACTTATTAAATAAGTTTTTGTTCAAGAAACCAGAGCTATTTAAAAAGGATACCATGTGACATGATTTTGAAAAAAGGACAAGTCACTTCCAGAGACAGCACTATGAAATCTTGTGGTTTTGCTTCCTTTTTCTGTAAATTTTAGTTTTGTCACAGCTGAGATTATGATTGGTTTTCTTATGGCAGGCAATATGTACAAGCTTTAAATTATCCATGGTAAACAGCAGCTGATAGAAGTATTCCCAGTTCACTTCTCTTCCATCTCGTGTTTTGACAGCTTCTGCCAGTTCTGGGACAACAGCACGTTTCTTCTCTATTCTTCGGTACAGAAAAGAGAAAAGAATATTGCCATCATATTTTTTTCATAACAACCAAGTCTCCATCTTTCCTTTAGAGCCAGGTTGGAATTTGAATCCTTTCACCACAGCTAGGTTTATGATTTTTTTTTTTTTTCCTGAGGAAATTAGTTTAGCAAATCCTGTTTGCTTCACAAGCATACAATGCCGGAAAACAGGTCTGAGGGTTTTTGCCAGAAAGGAGCCTTCCCAAAGGATAACGTGGTGAGGAGGGGTACGTTTCCATACAAAGAAAATCTGAACAGAAGCAAAGCAGCTAATGAGACACAGCATTATAATCCATCTTCAGGATTTTATGTTACCACAAGCAGCTGCAGCATCCAAGCATCTTTTATCAAAATGCACTGTTCAGAGCAGAGATAACTGCAGAGTGGGGGGAAGGATGAGCTAGAGACTCAGTGGCTAAACCTTTCCTGCCCAGGATGAAGAGCATGAAACAGGTACGTTTGGGTTAATGCTTTATACGTACATGTGATCGAGATTCCAGGTACTGAAGAGGATTCTGCTTTCCCTGTTACCGTAGGGGTTGATAGAATGCTTACACGGGCAGTCATCTCTGTCAAAAGGTCCCTGGAAAACACGGTGGCTGCCATGAGGCGTACCGCTCGTCACCCCGCGCGTGCACGCTACGACATCACCCGCCAGACTGGGTCCCTCACCCGCATCCGACTAACCACCTCCTTCCTCTCCGGCTGCCACCGCGTGTTGGGACCCGCACCCTCTGCCTTACAAAGGGTTGGACTTACCTGGCAAGAGAACCACCCCTCCGTAGTGCACAGGCGCGCTGCCTCCTCCTCCTCTCTTCTGTCAAAGTAGCATCCGTTGTACCTCACGGATTTCAGTTTGTCTGACATCAGGTCGATTATCGCTTTATACGCGTCTCTTGCTGTCGGATGAACGTTTGAAATAAAACTGCTAACCTGGAAGGGTGAGGAAAAAAAAACAAACCAGTTATTCCTTGGTGCCTATAGCAGCCTGAGGCTCCTTCCTACAATCAGTATGTTGCACCATAAAAGCGTTTTATATATTTGTGGTCACAGCATTATTTTTACGAGCAGCTTGAAAATAAGATACTTTAAACAGAAACTTTTACCTCCTTCAGGTAGCTTCGTATTCTGCTTTCACAACTATATCGCATGTAGCTTGACTTGTTCTTAAAACGAGACTCCAGACCTGGAGGGAGGTAGAGGGTGCTGTGACTTAGTACTTGCAGTGCTGTCCCGCCTGGCTGGGTGCCCGTCCCTTGTTCTCACAAACCCGGTACGCACAGAGTCTTTTTCTTTCCTGGTTTTATTTTACTGATTCAAGACGACCCTGCTCTTAGCACTTGAAAGGACCATGCAGAGCATCTCCCTTGAGAGCAGTAGCTGGTATTATAGCTGTTAAATGTGTCTCTTTAACGTGCACACACGCAACAGTAGGAGATTGCAAAAAGAAGACTGAATTGTTCAGGAGGAACTGCAAGAATGATTTTGGAACGGGAGAGGGAGCTTGCAAAGAAGGCATAAACAAACCCGACAAGGTTAGCTGGCCGATACGTGCAAATTATCAATATACTGTTAGCAAATTGTTAAGACGGTAAATGCAGACCTATGGTAATGGGGAAAAACGTATTCTAGAGTGATCTCGGATACAGCGATAGGGAACACGGCTTTTTTACCATTTTCTGATCGCAAACATGCATATATTTCAAAGCGACTTAAAACCCCTGACCAGGTACCGAATCCCACCGGCCAGGAGGTGTTTAAACAGCAAAGCTGCCCGAAGTGACTCTTCTGAGCAGCGCGAGGCTCGGTGCCCCTCAGCAGCTCCCCGCGGGCGCCGGACGCACCTTCGAACCATCTCCCGTCGTCCTGCCTGTCCTCGGCCAGGATGTTCTCGCTCAGGTTGTGGATCAGATCCACCAGCAGCTTCTGCCTCTTGGGCGCCTGCTCGTCCGACAG